AAAAAAAAAAAAAAAAAAAAAAAAAAAAGAGGGGGGTAATGCATGTTATATAACATTTTTAAAGATATAAATTTCCTAGGTTATGACATGTTAATATTTTTTAAATACTATGTATTTTTCCCAAGAACAAAGCAAAAAATAAGAAATGAGCAATTATTAATCCCAAAGCTTTTATGTGGATAAAATGGTGTACAAGCGGAAAGATGGTAGATAATCAAGTGAGGTCCACCAAAGTAAAGGGAGGTAAACACCAAGAGGTGGCAACCTTGCAGAAGGTATATATGGCCACGAGTAACCCTTACTCAACGGCAATGCAGAACATCTGTGCTTCAACACTAGCCACATGTAATAAATGATAGTCCACTGTACTATCACTCTTTTAAGGATTTCCAGATAGAATTTTGTCCTGGCCTACCTTAGAGGACAGTTGTGGCCTTGTAGTTCCTTTTAGAACCTCTGTTATGATCTTATCACTTGTACTAACTTGGTTCTTTATAATTAGGAATTTTGGAAAACTAAGGCCTATGGAACCACAAGGACTGGACTCAACAGCTGTTCAGTTATTTCCATTAGTTATTTAAATTTCTGTGCCTCAACTGCAAAATGGGAAACTTCAGAATGCTATGAGAAATGTACTTTAAAATAAGTAAAATGCTCAGTACTTTACTGACACTGGCACATGGTAGATACTTTAGATATTACAGCAGTAATAGAAATATTACCACGCAGAGCCAACAGTACCTATCTTTTCCTGCCTCTGCATTTAGTATCATCATGTATAACACATGTTCAAGGCCAGTTTAGGCTGCAAAGTGGGTTCAAAGCTATCCTGAACTACACAGCAATACCCTGACTCAAAAAGAAAAGGTTTTTAGTTTCCACAGAACCTTTTTTTCCAAAATTTATGGGCATACTAATACAGACAATCCTTGGCTAAGTGGTAGCGTCCAGTGGCACCTACAGTATAATCAGTAGGAAACATATTTTTCAGTAAATATCAGACACATAATGTACCTTAAAACCAGCAACAAATTTACCAAACTTTTTTTCTTTTTTTTTTTTTTTAGCAGTACTGGGGACTGAACAAAGGACCCCTCATGCTAGGCAAAGGCTCCAATTACTGAGCTACATTTGCAGCCTTCAGAACTTCAGAAGATACTGGTGAACAATCTGAGGAATTAAAGTTCTGGACAGCAATTTAGCTGGGTGGATCTATGACCTATAATCAAAGGAACAGACGTTATTGTGAAGGAAAACGTCCAACGGTATGGCACAGAATTGTTTTCAGTACTTATAAATGTCCTGAAGATGCACAATATATATTTATAATTGGACAACAACATCTACATCCTCAGTATTATT